ATTAGCGTAGTTTGAATTTACTGGAGTGTTGTATTTTCAATTAACTGCGGTAAAGTTGTTCATTCATTTTTCAACCATTTAATTATGTTATAATTAATTGATTGTATAATAACTAATAATCGAATATCGTATTGACATACTTTTGAACATGGAATAGTTAATAAACTAAGTAATGGTTTCCTGCTGCCGACTTTTGTACTTAACAAAAGTACTACATTTTGAATTATTTTTATAATGAATTCTCTCATTCTCATTATTTCTGAATAACTCACGTGGTATTACAACTGTATCACTAACGTAATATACGTACAATACAAACGTATAGCTCCAAATCTTATCTGAACTCCGACTTAGAATTATCCAATTAACTTTTATTGAACAGTCTCATTTTGGCATGAGAGATTTGTTCGACCACCGTTTTCACAACCACCTCATCGCCCATCGGTTATCTCTCAATCTAAACTTTGACCCTTTGTAGATACATTGAGATATGGTAAAAGGCGAAAACAATGACGTCGTGAGAGTCTGATAACATAATATGTTTGTGTGCACTAGTTCGAAAGTTCATTATTATACATAACAATAATAATATACAAATGCAAATTTCGATTCGATTAATGTAGATTGTACTTATCTATTTGGATGTTTTGATTTCGGTATAAGCTCTTTCAGAGATATCTGACGTACTTATTAAGATTCAAGACAAACCGCATGGTCACACATCATATATTGCATAATATACTATTTGAATACAACGTATTTCAGTGTTTACGATCGTATCAGCGTATCTGAAACTTGTTTAAACACTTTCAAACATGCAGGAGTAGTATTTCTTTCTAAATATACACATATATACATAGTACATGGTTGAGTTACTACTTATCAGAAAGCCAATAATAATTATCAACTTGATTCTTAATTAATTTAGTAGTAAATTTATTACTATATAATTCATTCGTTAGTTGACTTAAAATATAAAAATACATTAAATAGTATAAAACGAAAATGTATTTAAATTAGACGGTTTCGACAAGAATGTCCAGGAGCTTTATTAAAATTTGTTCATATGATCGACAAACACTCGTTTATTTCGTAGTTTCGAATATTCTTCACGAGGTTTCCATACACATCAATCGGTGCTATTTTCGATTCGACCACTCTAGACCAAAAGATTTCTTAAGGTGCAACAGAATAACATAAAATAATTTTTTTTTTTAAAGTTCTTTGCGAAATGTTGATTTTCTAAACATTATTAGAATCGGCCACGTCATGTCATATTATAATGTCGTGACAAATAGGTATATTGGGCGAAATACGTTACGATTGTCAAGCCCAAGCTTGTATATTATTATGTATGAATACACAGAACCCGTGAGGATTTGTGAGGTCTAACCGTATTCAAATGAACTTTTGTCCGAGCATGTACGTCGTTTGACGGCGTTCACCGACGATCTCATAATATTTTTCCGCAATATTGGCACGACAGATAAACCGACAGGTCGTATTCGTTTACATGCGATCTTAAATTTCGACAAGGCACTTTCCACCCACGTCTGCCGTAGTATTATGCGTCGTGGTGAATCCCAAAATCGAGCGTATGACATTTTCCATATATCATATTATAGCCTACCTAATCTGTGATGATAAAAAAAAATGTGTCAAAAACACAATGTAAAGTAAGCCCGGGGCCGAGGAGCGGTCTGGGAGCCGAATTGTTAGTGTCAAACGCGCTGCATACCTGTATCCAATATTTAATACTTAAAGGTATATTACGCTGTACATAAGACATAGGTATTAGGTAATGATAATAGCGGTGATATCCTCCACCCGTTTTTATTTTCATATTTTTCTTATTTTTACAACACACACGCACAACCACGGATTTGCGGTAGCTTAAATAAATAATGATTATGCACGCGAAAATAATATTGTCGTTATATACCTATACTGAATCGACATGCATCTGTCAATCTGTCTCTGCGGATAGGCTTCCGCCCGCTCCAACACACTCTATTAAATATGGCTTAGACGGTATTCATCGTACATATATTTTATTCTTCACACATGTTTCTGTTGGTATTTTCCCTCGATCCGTATCTACTGCCGCCCCCTCTATTAACCTTTTCAAATTACCCCAGTCGCATCCCGAGACACTTTCATTCCTTTTTCTTTTCCTTCCATTTTATTTTTGCGTTACAAGAAGTTTTCGAAAAAAGCTTCCAATGTATTGGCTGGTGATTTTTTTTCCATCATTATTATTTACCCCTATATGCCTCGTGCCCCCAGGTTATTAAACCGACGGGTAGAGTTTCAATTGAACTGCAACAATGCGTACAGTAATCGGTCACAATGTGTAGAAGATAAATTTACGCTCCGCAGACTTGACCCATATGTTTTTGGTGACATATTCGAAGAGTACATTATTATATTATATGAGTTTCTTTAAAATATGGAAGTTATAAAAATTGAAATATTCCAATGATCAAATCAGGTTAGGTAAATATGTTCTAAGGTAATTAATAGCCAAAGACTCGCAACTTAATAGTTCTTGATATTTAGACATTTGAAATAATTGCTAATTTTCTTTGCAGTGTACTTGTAGGTATTAAATGTAAAAAGTACCTATAATAATCTACTGACATATCAATTTTAATATTTAACAAATAATATTTATACATTTCAGTAAAAATATATATTATTTATGAAACGAATATTTTGTTAATTATTTTAGTAACATTTATTATCTATAATATTTTATTATTGTTTTTTTACTTTCATAATATACACTCCATACATAAAAACAAGAATGATTTTTTTAATTCATCATTTAATTGTTTACTCAATACATCAGTAGTGCTTAGCGTTGGGTTCCCAACATTTTAGTAGATAGTAGCAAAAATCTAATACTAAATAATGAAAAGATATATTGATTTACTGTATTTACTTGAAAGTTGAAACAGAGCCATATTTTCGAATATTACGGAAAATCAGCAATTTATCGGTTATTGCTATTAAAACTTCCAAAACCATGAATACATCATTCTACTATAATAGTCTATATTTATATGTTATTTATCTTTTTGCGATAGTTGTATATGATTAGTATATTGTATTATAAATTACAATCGCAGACGTTTCGTCTCGTTTTTCAATAGTTTAAAAGCTTAAAATGTTTGCTTATATTATTAAAAATACGTATGAACATATTTTAAAATATTATAACTATATATATTTTACATACCTACTTAACTATATATTATAACCAAAAACTTCGACGTATTTTTCTATCAAAAATTATTGATAGAAAAATATAGTTGAAACACCAAAATTACCAAGATTATTATACTTCAAGTCTTGATTCAATTCCACTGTAGATAAAAAGATGTATGCATCTTCTCAAATATCAACGAAAAACTAATTGAGCTATAGCCTATAATACATCGCCTTTTCATATCAAAATCTTGGATTTCCACTAAATCTGCATTTTCAGAATTATTAAAACAAGTAAAAACTTTTGACTTTTCCGTTTGTCTCAACTTATTTTTTAAAATCACATTTACTAGTCATTGTAAAATACAAATAATATTGATCAATTTTGAATGCTGAAGGAGATTTTAAGAGTAACTGTTTCAGACATAAAATCAAAGATGGAAAATATCCAAGCACAAGTTTCTAATTAATGTTGAAATTATTAAATTTATTATTTATCAAAATTAAAAATAAAGTACTTATCTGTCTTTTTTAAATTTAAATATCTATTTGAAAATTTTTAGATTTATTATTTATTATTTAGTTTGTTTTCTAAATTAGTTTAACCAAAACAATTATATTAAATTTAACTTTACACTAATTGTTGGGAGGGGTAACCAAGCATCATTAAAAAGTAAAATGTTTGGTAATCGCAGTACGTAGTCGTTTGAAAAAGGTTGAGAACCACTGACATGTACAATAATTTATTATAAATGTACATAATATTTTCTCTTAAAATCGGTCCATTTTTGTTTTGAAGAGCTTGGTTCACCCTGACCTCGGCCCAAAGAGAACTTCAATACACATAGTACATTGTATCGACTAGTTTATTTAATAATCTAAAATATTAATTATAGAATATTTATAATGATGAATATTACACCGGTAATTTTTAGTTTACCGATTGGGGTAAAAACAAAATTAATGCCTTACACGTATCCGGTGTTTGTAAGCTTTAAAGTTCATTAAACCTTGCCACAAATTGACTCTACGAGAGGATGATAGAGTGTGTGTAACAGAAAATGAGAGACGGAAACGGCATTTATTATATATATACTATATATTATATATTATATACATACATCTTTGTTGTAGTAGACCGTAGGGGACATCTGGCAATAATGGTTAAAGTTCCGTCCTTGACGGTAACATTTAACGGAAATTGTAGGAACATGCAGCTTTCCCGTGGACATCTTTCCTTCGTTATTAATGGCGTTATGACCAAGGTTTTCCGCTATACATATAGCGGTAGACGCCACACGCCCGGCTAAACGTCCGCGAGATATTACATCGTCTCATCCCGTTAACTGCTTGCAACAATATTGAAATCCTATCCGTATCCGGACCAACCGTTGGGTGGAAATCATATTAAATAGGTAAAACATTTAGGTACCGAAAATATTTATCAGAAATCTAGTCGACGAATTCATAAGCACGCGCACTGCAGTACAGTCCATCTACAAGACGTAAACGCACTTAAAAATATGCTCATCTTTACTATTGTAAGGTCTCAATGTTCACTTTATGGCGATTTCGGGCAGTTCCAAGCAGCAGGCCTCACAATCGTTACAATAGTTTGATGACTAAAACAATACCAGCTAGTGGTTGCAGATAACCCACAAAAATCAATTTTTTTCTAACCGTAGTGTTTTGTGAGACACTAAATTACCTAAAGGCACCTTAGATATAAATTGAATGTTGCCCAATGACCGTAAATGTTAAATTTGTTTTGTTTCAAATGTGTGTTATAGGTAGCGTGGATTCACATCGATCGGCAAATGATTTTGACAATTCATCGTCACGTGATAGCCCGAATACCACGATTTGGGATCACCCACGATAGTCAAAAAACGTGGCTGTTGCATGTCAAGGGCGCACAACCTGAAGACAGAGGCTATTATATGTGTCAAGTGAACACAAACCCCATGATCAGTCAAGTTGGATACTTACAGGTGGTCGGTGAGTACGTCTTTGACTGTGTCCGGTCTAGGAAACATCACTTCTCGCGTTATTAGTGCTATTATTATTCCCAAATTACATGTTGTTATAGAATATTACTAGAATTAGAATTTGTAACCACTTTGTGAAATCTGTCTTTTCAACAAAAGTTATTTCATGATATGGAGATCTTATTTCACAGTTTAGGAAATTTCACAAAATTAATCACTTTTTCATGAAATGGTCACTCCAATCTGACATCGAGGTATTTTTTCACATTGATGTCTTATTTAATTGGTGAAATAATACATTTGCTATGATAAAATAACATAGGTACTTTCTGTAATGTATTTGTTAATGCAAGCAATGTTAAATGTAAATATAATAAAATCCTTGTTGAGTTGTATTAATTGTATTTTGGTGACATATACAACGTGCTTCGCAATCCATGTTTCACCCCATTTTTCTTTTAATCATATAATATAATTATACATTCAAATTTTTATTTTTAGAATTTTTGTAAATTTATAGAAGAACCATGATTTTAAAGAAAATTTAGATTTTAAATGGTTTTACAATAAAGTACAATTTCTGTTTTATATTATTTTCATCTAGTACTCAAAAATATACTTTGGCAAATTTTTACTAATTATGACTTTTAATTAGATAGATATTAATTAATAAAATATTAGTATAATCATAGCCCCGTGATCTCCCGTGATCTTCCAAACCTACTATCATAATGTCTTATTATTCAAGGTACACGAAGTTAAATAGCTCAGAACTACTAGTTCAAATTTTGATTTGGATCCATTAACATTTTTAAAAAGTCATCTACTTAACAATTTAAGGGAAAAAATTGGTATTTGAAAAAAATAAGATTTTTATCACCACATAGTAATATTAAAACGATATACAAATTCTAAGAACTTGGAAATATGATTTTTGGTATAGGTACCTCAAATTAAAAAATCAGAATTTTAATAAATTAATTTAAAAGGGAAAAAATGAGTGTCAGTAAGTTTGGCGAATCACCAAATTATGTAAACTAAATAATAACTAATAAGTTTACTAACAGTTTAATATTATATTAAAATTTAATTTTTGGTTCTTTCAGAAATGTTTAGCCTGTAGCATTGAAGTTATTAATTAAAATTCAAAAAAACCCAAATCTTGATAAAATAAAACATACTTTTATAGCATTATAAATTAATTAATGTGTGATCTTAAAATGTTTATATATTATATATTATACATTTATTTGCCATTGGTAATTAGAAGTTTAGAAATTGTATAGTTTGTAAATTATTATTTAATAGATGTACAATATTATTTGATTTTTATATTTTATTCCTTTGGTAAAATATTGAACTTTTTGTATGGCAGTACCACCAAATATCATTGATGAAGAAAGTTCTCCATCTTCAGTGTCCATCCGGGAAAATCAAAATCTATCCCTTACGTGCAAAGCAGAAGGATCACCGACACCAAAAATTAGTTGGAAAAGAGAAGACGGTATTTATATAGCGACGGATCGAAAAAAAAAAGGTATTTTTCATTCACTATTTCTGATTTGTTATAATAATAAAAACCAACAAATGAAATCAGTGTTAGATATTGAGTCTAAAATCGAATTAAGTCTCTTTTATTATATTCGAAAAAAAGTATAGTAATAATGTTGATGAAACTTTGCATAACAACGTGGGTTGTTTTTGTAATGGTAATTCTGTTAGTATCAGCAAGATGCCCAGCAATGACCTAACTAGAGTAGGACCCCTGAGAAAATAAAATCCAGTTCAAGTACATATTTTGACCATTGTACTCACGATTTACCGAGTGAATAAATGTTTATTATTTACTTCATTAAATTGGTTTTATTTAAATCATTTAAAATTGGACTAACAGATTTTTTCATAATAAACAAACACAAAACCATAAATTGGTTGTCTTGAGTTCCTGTTATTTATTTAATAAGCAATAACTAATTAAGTGCTTTTCAACTTAAACATCTGAGAATTGTTATATATTATACATATTTCAATGCATAATTCCGATTAAACAAAACTCGTATTTTGTACCCACTTCACGTCATAAAAATGAGCATATATTTTATTTTTAATTTAAACAAAATATCTATGACTCTCGAGTTATTTTTTCCACTTGACCATTGGTAAATCGATGAGTAGATAGTACGGAATAACTTATTTGTGTAGGTGGGTAAAGAAAAAAAATGTCGAAGAGCTATTATTCCGATTTACACAAGCCACGACATATTATTATTAGTATACTCTTTCCTAGTATATTTAGAATAATTGTTTTTAATTTACTTCAACTTTCGTAAATCAAATTAAAATATAAATCTTAAAGTTACATCAAGTATTTGTGCACACTTTTAATGCTCACATTTATGTAAATGTATTTTTCCAAAGTAATGTTTGTTTTTTAAAAGAAAAATTATTATTTACTCCAAATACCAACACAAAAGTTTTACAGATGAAAATATTTATTGTTAATACAGTGTAGCTCAGCCAGGTTGGTCCTAAAATACGGTTCTATTGTATAGAGTCTTTCCACAAGTATACCATTTTAAATCTTCATAGAACGGTTTTATATATAGTGATCTGAGACTACCTATACCTACGTAAATGCATAAAATACATAGGTAATCGAAAAATGTATTTGAATTTTCTCGACCAATTTTAATTTATTAGTAAAGTTTGTTGTTGTGGAATATTGTCCTCTATTTGAAAATATTACAAAGAATTAATAATACCAAATGTTTCTTTTATTTTTTTAAGTTTTTTTCGTCGTTGCTACATGGTTACTAAAAAAATATTTCTGACATTATAAATAAATATAATATTGACAATTGTCATAGAACAAACTGAATATTATGATACCAATAATAATTATTCTTTTACTTTTAAAGTGTTAGAAAATCTTTTCAGGATTAGATAAGTAGGTAATATTTATTTTATTTGAACTACTATATTAATATATTTTTTTTCAATTAAAATATAATACGTTTAATTTTGCTTAAAGCACTCCCGCTTAAGACGCCTCCTGCATAAGACGGGTAGGCCCTTTAGAGCTAGTCCCACGAAGAGCGTCTGAAGCGAATTTTACTGTAAATACTTGTAGCTGTAAAAAAATTATTATTACTCAAAACTTTTTTTTGAAATACGATGGATCTTTAAGTCAGCTTTTTTCATGATGCTTTCGATTGTGGTTCGATTTCTTAGATTTTGCAGGCCTTGTTCGATTTGATTTTTTTTTCAATAAAAAATATTCATTTTCGATTTTAAGCTGGTTTTTGAGGCTTTACCTATATGTTTATCGCGTGTGTGTCGAATATAGAACATACATTATTGAAATATCTACACTATTATTAATTGATGTTTACGGAAATTCAAATTTTATAATTATTTATTTACTCAAGCGTCTTATTTTATACAATTGTTTTATTCTTAAACTTGTGAATGGTGCTTTAGTTTGTGTTTATGGTTAATTTTTTTGTATAAAAACAAAATTAAACACTATAGTGAACTTCTTCTGATTGTTCTTCCAGTTATAACTTATTACTGTGTATATATTTTATTTGTTGAGCATTGAGCATCAAGTATAGCTTACATTAAATTTAACATTATATTTATTTATATATTACATTGTTTTTTACTATCTAACAGATTATTTATTATGCAACTGGAAACAGTAAAATATCTTCACTATAATATTATTATGTTGTAATTATTGGCAATTTTCGATGATTTATGTGTAATATATCCATTATCCAACCTCGATAACAATCTAGTTATTCATGATTTGAAAGTTTGAAAAATTGATAAAAAAAAATTTTTTAACGATCTTTTTCTTTTAAATTCTTCTTCGCATGCTTTTTCATAACATGGACAATTTACCGGCATGGTTGTCATGATTTTTTCTTCTTCCTTTTCTTCTTCTTCAGTCAAATAATCAAGTGATCTTACATCGTAATTCGACGTAGAAGGATCTGAGAGATTTCCTGATTCAAAATACAATAAATTATCATCTGAAATATACCTTTCTGTAATAACGCCTACACCACTCATATATTGACGAATAATAGGTCCTCGGCCAAATTTATGATTTTCTTGTGGTTTAAAACGGTCCGAATAATTTAAATTGTTTTCGTTATATTTAATAGACGAATTGTTTTGGAGTTGAGTATCGCTGTTAGTGTTTAACATTCTTTATATAATTTAAAATACTTTGAATGTTTTGTAGAAACGTTTTACTAAGTAAAATAATATTTAGTTCAAACAATAAAAAATCACTTCGTTGTCACAGTATTAATGAAAAAAAAAAACATTTTATGTAAACACCAAATTTAAAAAAGTAATTATATATAATTATAATATTTTTTGATTTTAAATACTGATAAATTCTATTTATTCAAATATTATATAAACAAAGGGTATTAAGCTTATTACGTTCGGTGTTTATAATATATTAGGAGTACAAGAATACTCGGAAGCCATAACATAGAAAGATAAATATATAAGAAATAAGTCAATAAATGAATTGCTTCTCTCGATTGCCGGCGAATACAATATAGAATATAATGATACATTGCACATATTTGCTCCCTTCATTATTACGAGTTGGATATTAATCATTATATTTTAATTAACCACGGTTAAACTAACGTAGATAAACCTACAGTGTTGTACAGGTCGTGTTATAGTCCTGACAAGTCTTTGTTTGTTGGCCACTAAAAAATAAGAGTCTAAGAACAGCGTTCTAAATATTTAACCCTTTTAATAGTCAAATGACGTTACTTTTAAAATTGTAACTGATTTTTTTTTCTGAGTGGTCATCGATTATGCATGCAAGAGGCCTGCTCTTGAGCGATAAAAGTGATTCTTAAATCATCGGGCATCGTGTCCTTGATACATTTTAAACTTCAACAATGAAATTCAAATTTTTATGCACTTTGTATATTATTTGTCATCATTCACAATCAGTAGTATGGTTAGTGAACATTGAAAATGTTTAATGTATTCTGCTAGCGTCTAATTGATTCACATATTTTATTGAAAATTTCAATATTTTGTTATTTTGAGTTCATATTTGTATGCAAAAAAATAGAACATTACAACTACATTTATTTTAGAATGGTTCATTAATTTTATTTAATAAATATTAATAGATGTAAAATAAATGTGAAAACCTAATATTAAGAGTTCATTTTTATCCTTTTTTTTTTATTGCAAACGATCAACATAATATATTGCCCTACATAAAATAGCTGAATTATTAACATCATTTAATTTTTCTGTAGAAATATTTTATTACATCTGAAACTCTAAGATGTTTATACATTATTATATATTATTTTAATACATTATTGATCATTACATTTGAATAAGTCAAGATTTGAATTTAAATAAACAAAGCAATTGGGATTGTTTTGAATGAAGAATGTTTTTGGTAAAACAACTGCTAAGCTTTAAGTAGATGTCTAGAGATTTACCGATTTTAAAGTTGAACAAAGTTATATAAGAATTCTATACTTCCACGTTTGTCAGTATATCTTGGCACAAGAAATCAAAATATTTTTCAAATACCTATGTGTTATCCTACAAATAACTATACACATTGTACTGAACAGTAAACTGTGTCTAATTGGCAATTCATGTGTTGAACAGTCCACTTTATAATATTTTATTGAATTAAGTTGCTTACGCGGAGGTAGGTGTAGTAAAAAAATAAAATAATTAAAATGACAATCGTTGTGTATTGTTTAGTATTTAAATACAGTATTTATCAATTCAAAGTCAATAAATATATATATATTTATACTCCTACCCAAACGTTATTGTTCAAGATTCTATAATATTTTTCATCTATTTGTGTGTGTTACGTGTGTTTACAGCTGTGGAGAAGCTGTTCGGCGACACGTTAAACTTGACAAGAGTCAACAGAGCGGATATGGGCGCATATCTCTGTATCGCTAGCAACGGTGTGCCTCCGTCAGTTAGCAAGCGCATTATACTCGACGTCGAATGTAAGTATAGAATGATATCGCTTAACAATATAATAGTTTTAATTAAAACGTACGGTAAACGTTACACAACACCACCTAAATTGTTATGTAAATATAATATAATAAATTATATATTATCATGTTACGCGTGTGCGTTTCCGTACAATAGAATCCAAGAAACTCTGTGAACAATGTCACACGCTTTATGATAATACGTGTCGTCTGCTGTAATAAACTTACTGTACAGCCGATATCATATTTTCAATCTTTTTTTTTTTTTTTGGGAAGAAGTTGCTATACGAGACTTAGCTTTTTTCTGACACCAAAGTGTATAGGCGGTTGATGAAATCGGGATTTTGTCACCTATACAAAGGTTTTTTTTTACATGTTTTAGTTAGTTTTGTTTTCGACATTGTATGCATACATTTTATTTTATTTTATCATATAACAATGCGGTGAGGCCTGGTATGGCTCCGTGGTTTTCTTCAGTCACTGACGTGTTCAGAGGTCATGCATTGGCGGCATCGCTAGTTCCTGGATGAGTGACCACCCAGGTTTTTAGTGACAAATCCTTGCCTCATGTACACGTGTTCCGAACCAACCGTACCTCCTCACTAAAAATCTGGCTAATAAAAATAGAGTTGAAGCCTTTAACTTGAAAACAAAAAAAAAAAAAAACAATACAGCTCGATACCAAAAAACTTAACACTGGAACATTTATTCAACATTTACAATACAATAATAGGACTTAGAATAAATAATAATGACAACAAACCCCGTTGATACATAGTACCTATACTATAGATTTTTTTCTTAAGTTCAGATCTTCATTATTAAGACGCTTAAAACTATAAAAAAGAGAGTTTAATCAATAATGTTATAACTTAAAATAAAGATAGGATAAACAATTAAGTTAAGTAAATGTTTAGTAAGAAATCAATATATTCACAATGGCCATTATATTAGTCAACATTCACCATCAGCAGGGCTGGATAAATTTAAAACTTGTGATATTTATCTATAGAAACCATATTATATTATGATGAATACAATTTTAATTTATTTAATACTAATTTATTATTATTTTAATGTAATTTATTTCAAATATAATAGAAAATAAAAATTCACCCCGTGTTCTAATCTGCTAAAAATTATACAATTGTATATTTTGTCTTTGGTGTTTAAAAAGTAAAAAATGCTGTAGATAACTAAAATAATTAGTTTATCTTAATCAGAACTCCTAATCTATGAAAAATGAATACAATGTCAATAAATTATAATAAATTGTATAATATTATATTTGGAGAAAATAGTGGAGGTACGTCGCTTAGTATAGAACGGCCCAAATAAAAATCTTGGTGTTTTGAAAACATTCTCGGAAGAGTGTAAATAAAAATTGTTTATATGTTTTATCAAATACAAACACATGGCTGGTAGGAAATGAGCTAAATAAATAGATATTTTTTGCTCGTCGAGGTTTCATGACGAGAAAATATGAAATTACCTAGCATCCGGTGGTCTTATGCCCTATCAGTGGGATCTCTGACTCGGATTTATAGGTAGCGTCGCCGGGCATACAACGACGATCTCTAAATGACGTTTTACTTAACGAACAACTGGATATAAACCCCATCGAAACAACAGATATAAAATCCACTGGGTGAGAGTAGGGGGCAAGAAAGTGTATCATCAAATACCTATTCCCGTGTGCATTGGTTTATTGGCTTTACCGCAATCAGCCTCCGTCCCTGCAGTTCTACGTACAAAACCACGAAATCAACTCGAGTTTAATACGTTATTGAGCAAATGCACTTAACAATACCGAATTTATTGGCTTTACTCTAATAATTTTTCCAGTTTGAATCTGATATTCAACCTATACGTACTGTTTTTATTTTTGTTTTTTTGTTTTGATATTTATTTGTTTGGACACGTTGATCATCCGGATGATAATGCAACAAATTCGTATCAAAAAATGTAGTTCATTTACACACTTCACAATAGGTTTGAAAAAATATCAAATGGTCGTGAAGATTATTAGAGACTTCAACGAATACAATAGCTGTGGATAAAACGTAGTCTTCAACAGGCGTCGAAGACGAATCCATTTAATTGCTTTCGATTTTAATCTTTCGCCTCCGATACCTCACTTCACCACTCTAACTACAGGTCTCCAAAGTATGTTGAATATGATTAATTATTCATCTACAAAAGGATTATGAACGTGTTTTATCTAAGGACACGATGCTCGTCCAACCCCGTTGAAAAGGTCACAGGATTATGAGTGAGGACACGCACATGGCAGTTGATGAGGAGGGAAGGGAAGTGGGCCGGAAGTGCTTTTTGGGCGAAGCTAATTGCTGGTGGTTAAGCTAGAAAGGGGTTGAGTAGAAACTATAAAGTTCAATTACATTATCTCAGACTAACCCTCCTCTAAAGTTCATCCCATACTGTACTCAGAATATCCGCTTCTATTTTCTGGGCCACACTTTCTTTATGGTTATCACCCCGGTCCGGTCTTCCAGAATACAAGTAACATGTGTTCGACGAACAGTTTACTGCCACTTGCTCTTCCCCTGCAGACAAGCACTACAACCCATAAAATAAAACTATAGAGTCGTTTTACACACAATATGTTTACTCACAATAATTATGCATCGAATAAATCTACAAGTGAGCACCAATTTATACTAAACTTGTGTGTAATTATAGTGAGTTTGATCACAAATCTTCACACATCATAGTATTTTCAGTTTTCAACCTAAAGGTACTCGCCTTTTATTTTAATTCTTTGTAGATGTTGACTTTTTCATACTTTTTAATTTATCCTTTGACCTAGTTAGAGTTACCAAGTAAGCCCGCAGATATTTTTCCTTAGAACATAAATTCTATTATTTTAATATGCATCTCTTCCGGGTATCTCAGTGCAGATCTAACTATTTTTTTAATTCATAATTTATTCCTATCAACAAAGGTGAACATTTTTATTTAACAATTTCTATCTATATTTTATCTCCTTTCTATTCAAATTATATTCCCCATATGCCTCGAGCTTCGTATCTCAAAATCTTCGAATGTCTTCTATTCCGTTTCATTTATGACCCACGATTCACAAACATAATAATATTATGTTGGTATTATTCACACATAATATGTTGAAAATAATAGTAACAAATATAGTATGGTTTAATAAATTAAAGTAAAATTAATACAAAATATTCACAGCAGTAATAATTAAAACATAATGACCGCTTCAAGAAATTATGTTATGTTCAAATACTTGTTATAGCCTATTGGTGACCAGTTTGTATTTTGTTTAGGTTCATACAATTTATAAACTCTAAACCACGTAATAAAATGTACCCTTTTGAAATTATATATTATATTCATAGTTGATTACATACCTACAAAACAAGTATACTCTAAAAGCGTCAAGATATCATAATATCTTATAGACTAATACTTCTTAATTAATTCATCAAAAAACCTAATAAAAGTTAAAGTAGAAACACTAGAAACGCTATGCACTGGCAGTGTACTATAATTAGAATGTGCTAGAACTAATTATGATCTAAAGTAGCATTAAGAAAATTAATGTTACATTAATTATTGGAACATATATGACCCGGATGCAAAAACGCACAGTCCCGGCTCTCTTCATGTGTAAAGTTTCCAGCCTTAAAAGGGTAACTGTGAATTTATAAACTAAATAAATTACATTTAAGAATATATTATTATGAATACTGTGTCCAAATATTAATCAGTGAGTTACTCCGATACAATATATTGCTCCAAACGGATATCCTGCTGACTACTGGAGTTTCATAATTGTATTTGTTATAACATTAGAAATCTACGACTGTACGAGTCGAAGTACTGTAATGTTAAGTTTTCGAGTCATGTATATTTCGATATTTTAGTTTCTGAATAAAACACAAAAAAAGATCACAAAATAAACAAATACACCCTCGAGTTAGTGGTATTTTTTTTCAGTTTGACGTTTTTTTTTCGTCACCCTTTCAACCCGTCTCAACTGTTTTGACAAAACTTTTGCATTGCCAACTCGAAACTAATAAACGGCAGGATTAGAGCCGGATTACACCCCCGGGAGCACTGAAGACATTGCTAGTAGAGTATAAAGTTTACAAACACGGTGGCGGTGGTGGCATGAGACGGGGCGAGGAGTACGCAGGCATGCCGGGAGTATTTAAGTAGTTAAAATTCAACACGAGTCCATCTTTCTCCGTCTGCACGCGTGTATATGGATCTATATAGTGGCGGGTGACGTGAAATTAAAGACGACCATCGTATTCCACGTAGATAATTTTGGCGAGTGCCCGTCCGCCAGAAAAGGATACTAAATATAATAATATATATATATACGTACGCGCCACTTGTTTCGCGTTCTTGATTTTATAATGTGGAAGAAAAACCCAATTATTATGATGGTCTTTTCAGTCGTTCTCGTAAACGTCACGTACACTCCTTTGCAGTGCACAACACGGGAGAGCAGGGAACACAATATATTATGACTGAATAGACGTTTGGAGTTGTCAAGTTAATTTAATATTTTTAAAAAAGGATACCAGTTTCCGAAAAGAGACTTATGAGTTGTTTTAAAATTAATCTTCGAGTGTTGTCACAATCACACTTTACATCAATTTCGTTTCTCCGACCTTTAATGCCTTTTTGTTTCAGAAATGCAAATTAATGTCAAGTGCTTTCAATTCTTCTGTATAAGAAGACGCACAAAACAAATATTTATAATGACGTTTAAGTATAGCATTACGAATGTACTCCGTATACGGCAATACATCAAAGATTTTAAGTATATTATTATAAGGTTTAAAATATTTTCCAAATCGAATATCCGTTACTACTAATTTGTATTTTCTAAATCTATAAATAAACCGTTTTCAATAAATGTAATATACACATTGCACACGTGTCAGTAATAATAAAGCATACTCTTTGAAACGCTTTTAACTGACATTGAACGGTGAACACTAATGAAACATCATAAAATACACAAATCCATCATGTTTATCGCGGTGTTACTTATCATAGATGTTCAACAAGATAACTATAAACCACTATAAATAATCAAAATAATTGAATTGTTCTATTTTAGAAACATTTATTTTGATCGTTAGAGTGCAAGCTGCATAAAGGTATTTGTTTATTTTTCTCATAACACTTGATGGAATCAAAAAGAGAATTACGCAATAACGTAGAGGTAATTATTCTCAAGAGACGACCGTTAACGGAAGTTGTACTGTATAAATGTCACAGTAAATTTGTATTACGAATATGGTGACTAATCGTATGCCATTCATACGCGTTATCCACAGTTTTGTAAAATGAATTTCTGAAATCTAAATTATGATTCCCAAAATGATGATTTGTATGTATGTTTTATAGATTTAGACATCAAAATTGACTTTGCACATAATTTCATCATTATTATATTAACATTATTTACATAATCAATTATTGACACGTTCAATTGATTTATACCTAAAAAAAATAATATGTATATTTTCCACATAAATGTCAATCAAATTGTATAAATACAGATAATAATAAAAAGTATTTGAATTTTTATTTTATGGTAATATTTATTTTTATATTAATGGTGAAACTTTCGTTTTCCATACAAAGTTGGAATACCAAAATCTAGCACTATACGAACAAATTTCCAAAACAATTTTACAAATTACGTTAGCTATAACTTTTTTAATAAACTATCTAATGATAGATGTGTTCAAAGTGTTTCTCTGAATAATCCATAAAAATTTATAAAAAAAACTACAAAAAACTGTCATAACGTGATTTTTATGGAAACTAATTGTTTTTTCATTATTTAAAAGAGCATAAAATGCGGATCCTGGTGTTTTTGCGTTTGTCCGTTCGGTTAGTACTAGAAAACGCTACATCTCATCCTATATATTTTAAAGATGAAAATGCTTAATATTATATAATATAGCCTTATATTTTAATATTTTACATACTGTGCAAGTACACTTTTAAATATTCTTTGTAATAAAAATTATTACAAAAAAAATACAGAACAATAAAATATAATTTGTGCAGATACAAGAATACAAATTAACAATGATTGTTAAAAAATAAAAATAAATACATTTTAAAATTGTATACTTATTATAACTGAAGACTGAAAATCTAAAGTTAATCTAAATATAATCGTACAATTCTAAATATACAAAGTTCATCATATTATTTTATAATAATTTATAATATAACATATTATGCACTTGGCATGTTGCAATTTAAATTTGCCTGAATGAAATATTGTACAATTCATGTTTAAAATTATTTAATTCACCTAAGTAAATTAAGTATAAATTATAAAATAAAATAATTTAAAAGTAATACCAAAGTAATAATCCAATGGGTAATATATACCACAATAATATGTTACACCATTTTTTAGATATATTACAATTTTTAGTTAGTTAAAACAAATTTGTTATTTAAGTATGCTTTACTTGTTTTTCGTTTATATAATATTATTGTGATTAACATAAGCTAGGATATCGGATGTATATGAACATAATATACAATATACATTATACATAGGTATTACATATTATACCATATATTATACAAACAGTGTGTGCATATTATATCAAGTGATATGCATAAAACCAAATTACTAATCATAATGCGGAATATTTATTGACATTAGACGTACATTGTTTTTGAAAATAATGTACAAATCACCATGGTGTGTCCGTCGTATGTTATATCACATTATTCTAGAACAACAGAAGTTTAAGTTTCAAAAAATGTTATCTAAACTAGTAATAGTTTAATAAAAGAATGAAACTGCTTATTTAACACTCCTATTGTTCTTTTGTTCATTTAATTTTTATAATTTAACTTTTAGCCCCTGTATGGAAATAAAAATGATTTACTATTTTCTTTTACCAAATTATGAAACCACTTAAATCCATATAGACCATTACAGTCTTAAGGGTACTTTATTTTATTTTATTTTTATTTTTTGTTATATAAATTACCTGTGCTATGACTTATGTTTAATTTTATTGAAAAAGTGCTTAAAAATACTTTAATTTTTAATTTTTATGTTACACAATATGCATAATAAATTTGGAATAATAAAAAATACCAACATGTGCCACATTTATAAATATAATTTTGTACTTCAATTTATGAACACAGCTTTAATAAGTATATCATACACTTTTAATTTTAATTGTAGGCTATGACATTTATATTAGCTGATATTTTATTTTCCAACACAACAATAATTTTATGAGTATACCATTAATATTACGGTTACACTATTAGTAGTGTACCTAATTTAAGTTTTTATATAAATATGAGAACGGTAGGTGTAATAAGTTAATAACTACAGTCCGTTATTATATAACCAATTTTACTCTCTTACATAGATCAGATTGTTAAAAGAACCATGTGAATGTGCAACGACTCTCATAATCACCGCCTTTAATAATTATGAATTATTTCTTATCGTTCATGATGTTAGGTATGAGTATTACTACAAATTGTATACTAGCACGTAATACCTGTATTAAAATTATTTTAATACATTTAAATGTCAAAATCCTTGAAAATAAAAAAAAGAGGTTCAAATTAACATTATATTAATTAATAATCTATTGGCACACCGGTGGCGTACAAAATTTAAGTCTGAGATAAGCAGTACACGTATTACAGCAGAGCGTGAGTAAACACTTTTGTTTACACGGTTAATTAAACGCTATTGACCGAATAAAAAAGCGAATCACACAAGGCAGCAGTATTTGTTTTCCTCCGCGGACATTCGAAACACTCGGAGCCGAGTGCACCATAATATTACAGTTTAACTTTTGGTCGTATGGGTAACCATTTTCAGAACGTTCGCCTAAATGCTTACGTTATTTGGACGATTTTGACATAACATAATGTCCTGCGAAATCAGTCGAGCGTATAATTACAGCCGATTAATATAATTATAATATTGGAAAATGGCCGGCATGGACCGAAAAGCTCCGGATATCATCGATGTAACACGACCGTTCGTAATTTCGCATGATATCATCATATCGTACGAGCATAACAATAACAATGACTCGTATCTTACCATGTATTATTACATTGTAGACGAGCACGTATTATTGCACTGTAATATCGTTGTTGCGTCGTCGTCGTCATTAAGCACGAAACGTTTTCAGCCCTGGCGATAATCACATTATAATATATTATTATTTATTATGCATCTTGACTTTGCTCGCATTGCACGCCACATAATAATTCACTATATTATTCTACGATGTGATACAGCTAGTTCAGAGTCTCTATAATATCCTGCACATCTATACTGCGAGGCTGGAATATACTATGTCAGATTACCAAACATTTTTAATTTTTCATAACACCATAGTTAATTTATTACAAAATATTAACATTATCTCACACACTACAGTGCGTTTATTATTTTTGATATGTGCCTAGGTTAGAAGTATCTGCTTGTACGATACAAAGATTCGAGCTCTATGTCTACCCACGTGATATCTTGTTTTAGAAATTGTTTCGAAATATTTTAAAAGAAAAGACTAATTATTAGTAGGTGGGTATACTCGATCAAATGTCAAGTTGTGTACAATTCTGTTTTTCAATCGCAGATTTTTAGTTGCTAAATAATAGAAGGACATAAATATTTGACTTAATATTGAACAACACTTGGGTATAGTTTAAATTCTCATACTGCATATGACAGAATAAGGCAGAGAAGGATTTTGGGAGGCCTAGAGGCCTCAGTCCTCACCCCACACATATTATTTCTTCAATTTTTTGTTTTGTAATTCTGTAGAGCCAGATATTATTTTATTCCAACCATTGATTTGTACGATAGTATAAAATAGCATATATATCTGTGAACTATGATTATAGTGTTATAATTTTATGATTAAGTATTAATCGTGTTTAATTTATTTATTGCATTTAGATTATAGTATTATTATACTAATATTGGGAAAACAATTTTAAATTAAGAACAAAGTGTACCTATATTGTAATTGTATTTATGTTTTAAAAAATTGTTGCCCTCCAGATCTTTACTCTGGATTCGTATCTGGGATGAGGTCTTGTTTACATAGTTTATTGATCAAAGTATTATTACGACTATAAAACAAAAAATAATTTTAACTGTTTGTCCATATTATAATTTCATATGTATAATTATGTCACAGCCGACAATAGCTCACAGACACTGGATTTTTCTCTTATTTTGAAATTATACCTATTCAGGTATATTTCAGTTGTTCATTTTTCTCATAATTTCGTTAACTTGCAGGTGCAAATCTTATAATTAATCATGATTTTAATATACAAAGGTATCTATATAATTAATAAAATCATCGTCAATGTCTTCCAATCGCCTACCACGAGGTTTTCTATGTTATCTCGAAAGAATAATTCCATTAACTAAATACCGCGACGATCATATTCGTTCTCTTAATACACTAAGCTATAGTTTTATTACAGAAAATAAATTAGAGCGGATTACCATCCACGGTGTCAGATTAATAAACCTCATGAGACCGGATTTCTAGGACCGCAATAATATGATATTTGGTTTCATATATTATAACAAAGTTTGATAATAATACTCAATTCATATTATGTATGTGTTGTTATAGTCTCGCCGATGATATGGGTACCGAATCAGTTGGTCGGAGCTCCGTCAGGTACGGACGTGACAATCGATTGCCAGACGGAGGCGTATCCTAAGTCGATAAACTATTGGTCGTTTCGCGACTCAAAAACTATGCTGTTCCAAAACAAGAAGTATGTGACGTCGGACACGGAGAAAAGATACCACATCCACATGAGGCTCACCATCAGAGACTTGAGCCAATCGGATTTCGGCAATTACAAGTGCATATCCAAGAACTCGCTCGGCGAAACCGAGGGCTCCATCAGACTTTACGGTATTTAAATACCACCCACGTGTTATTACAATATTATAATATAAATAGTATGAAGAATCGTATCCGGACGAATCGTACCATTGAATGGGGAGATGAATAAATTTGTTATTACTCTTCATACAAAGGCTTTCCTAAAAGCTCTAAATTATTATTTTTTATTTCTTTATCAGTTATATTGATTTCTATTTAAGTGAAAGCAAATTTTACAATATAATTATTGTAAATATACGTTTAAAAAAAAAACCTATCCCAACTCTAAAGAGATGGAGATATCCGTACATGGTCACTTTTTCAAGTACGCCAATGAACATTATTCCATATTATGCTACGTTATAGCTATATAAGTAGGTACACGTAGGTACCATGATTTTACTGGAGGTTATGATTCGTGTAGACGTTATCCGCCGAGTGTGGTAATTGTCCTAACCTAACGACCCCGTCAAGGCAGTAGGCTTATTTTGTTTTATTTTTTTATTCGTTTAATTTTTTCATTCTATTTTTTTTCTCCCCACTAACGTTAACTTCATTCCATTCTGGTTCCGGGGAACACTTCAAAGTCGACGACGCCAATTATTCACGGTTCGTTTAAATCCCATTTCCCGATGTTCCACTTTCCGACAAAGTGTATGTAACAACAATTTTCCCCCTTACGTGGCCGACATCGATGTTACGTCAAAAGGCCGTGATTGATTAAAACAAAAAAAAAAAAAATACTAATAACGAGAAAAAAGCAGCAGCAATGAAATGATTATAAATTCTTTCGACTTGTTTACAGACGATTCGTCGACAAGTATAAACATTAAACACAGAAAGGAAGTATCTACTACCCTTATTCAAAGTTAAACAAGACGACAACGTTAACTGTGCACAATCCTAAAGCAGTGGAAATTTTTCTATCTGATTAGATGTTCGATACTGTATATAAAATAAAGTTTTACTGCCTCGGAGATTCTAAATAAATTATACGTGTTCCCTCTGCAGAACTGTGGTTTTTTTTCCCGAGTCTTTCAATTTACTCGTATAAATTCGGATCGATTGTGCAATAAATTACATAACCGGGGGACTTTGTCCATGGCGAAACGTGAAAATTCATTCTTGTGATGTCGTATAATGTTTTATACATTTTGGTCTTGTTTACTATTTTCCACTATTTATTCATTCGAGTTGTTTTTGCTTTTTTTATCATTACAGAAATACCAAAACCTTCTTTAGCTCCGAAAAGTGCGTCTGAACTCAACCGGGCGGTGAATAAAGAAGGTAAGTCCAAGTCACCATGTCTGCTTATCAAGCAACCGTAACAGTAATATTGTACTAATTAACAACATGCATATTTGAATGAACAATTATGACACATTATTGAAGATTAATCATCTTCTGTCTGTAAATAAATACCGACTAATATTTCAAGTAACAAAATATTAGACATAACATTAAAATAAACAATTTTTGTTCATACCTATTTGAAATCTACCCGGTTATAGGTTTCTGGATTAGTTGTATTTAATTCATATTTCAAATGAATTCATAAAAATATATTACAATAGTCCTATTCATATTATTTTATTTAATGCTATAAAAAGCAATACTATTAAATTCATCAAAATTAAACATGAAATTTTTTTAAAAATATGCTCAATTTATCTACATTGTATACAATTTATCCTCTATTGTATTATTGACATAAATAATTTAATATTTTAAAATAATATTTATTCATCATTATAACGAGAAAAAAACATTTAAAATGATTTTATAAACAGTGAACAATAGCTAAAAACATCTTTATATTAGAAAATAATTATAGCCAGTTTTTTTAAATTAAATTTAATATCAACCTAAAACTAATTATCTATACGCTACAAAATCATGAAACACAAAACCTAATATGTTTATATGTATAAATGTATTGTACTATAATATAATTTTATTATACAGTATAATGTATAAAGTCATATATATTTCTGTGTTAAATTTCGTGTTATAAAAATCTAATTAGGATTTAATTCTATTCAAATACAATATTTTTTTATAGGTATTCAACTATCAAATCTTTTACAGCATTATAACAATTTATTAGACTAAAATCTTCTATATCGATAAATAAAATAACTAATATAATAATTGTTGTTGATTTATAGTAAATTTATAGGTAAATCTTTAAGTATTTTATATAATTACTATATAATAATAAATTATTATAATATATTTTATTATTAATATATAATGTACTGTGAGTAGTACCTATGGATTTTATTTTTCGATCTAAATATTCTTTTTAAAGTATCTTCCGATTTTTATATGAGGTCCAAAATTGACTCGGTTTAATAGTTCAGTTATACAGAATTCTAAAAATATATATTATTTGTCGTAAATTGCATTTAAATACTATAAAAACCACTCAAGTTGGTAAGAAAATATATTGAAATCTAGTAAAACATAGAAAATCTCTGTTAGTACACATCATTAATTATTTTAGCTTCTGAGCTGAGGGATGAATGTATTGGTTTTACTAGAGTAATTTTTTTTTTTTTATCGAGTATTTGTACAATCTGTAAAGTATTATTTTTACAATAAGAGCAAGGAATTTTGTGGATTTATTAGAAATATTTGTAAAAATATTATTTGATTTATTTAATTTAATTTACAATATTTCAGACAGGGGGCTTGTGTGAAGTGGCCATCTAATGATGGAAAGTCATAACATGTAAAAGTGGGGGTTATTCAATTAGTAGATCAAGACATCACGTCCGTTTTAGATGCTTTCTTGGGTCTCCAGGAAAAGTGGTGTTTTTTTAAATTATTTTTTTGTATCCTATAAAAAACATTTTATGGTAGAAAAAGGCTTTGGTATCCATTTTCAAGGGCGGTTTTTGGTAAAAAAAAATGTATCCATCTGGTAATTTTAAAGGAGAAAATGGGTCAAAAGTAATAATTCAACATGTTTTTTCTAAAAGAAAAGAAGAGGAAAAATTAAAAAGAAATTACGGAAATACGGAAATATTTACACAACACAAATTTTTGACACACATAATCAATACTTTTTTTCATAAAGTTAGTAAAAAAATGTATAATTGGTCAAAAAGTTTGACAGTTTAATATATGGTTCTTCAGAAGTAATAAGCGCTCCAAGTTAGGAAAGCAAAAGTTACAAAATCACGTTTTTTTCAAATTATTTTATAGTTAAAAATTTATAAAATTTTCAATTTTAATTGCTTCGACTGGCAAATATAATACAAAGTTTCGAATAAATTGTTCTTACAAAAACTTTAAAAAATATTCACAATATTATTGTTTTTAGACATTTTAAATTCAAACAGTAGAAGAAGACATCCTAATTGAATGTTTCAAACACAATGTATTACGAAATATTGGATGAAATTTGATAAAAATTAATTGCATTTTTGGCTCTTTAGAAAATATAAAACCTGAAATAATAATGGTAAATGTTTTGCTCATTATATAAAAAGTAAACTAATATAATTATTATTATAAGTATATTTTACATTATAGAAAAAAAGTAGACTTTAAATGTATAAAATGTTGGTATACTGTGTCATGTAAGTTACAGTATTATAAACGTTTTTGGTTATTGAGAACAATAAAATCTATATAATTTACAACAGAGCTTTGCCAGCATGTTTAATTAGATGCATACACATAACAATTTAAATATAATTTATTATTATATCACAGAAACTTTTGAATTTTTGATAATATCGAAGGTGTTTTGGCATGGGGTTTTTATTCGACGTGTTTAGTACCTATAATATAAAGTTACTCAGAAGAATATTCACAATATTGTATTTTGGACATTTTAAGTTCAAACGTCAATAAAATTTGGATATTTAAATGAAAAGTCACAATTACAGTTACCTATTTTATTTGTGGATATTTTTAGTTACCATACACAATGCAATTTTCAAAATACTTATTTAGAATAAATTTAAGCTATTTATATCACAAACCTATTCATACCGTTCTACTGCAGTAGGGCATTATTGTCTATCAAGTTAAAAACAGCTACCTAGTTGTAGTATATTATGAAGTAATATAATATAATATAATATAAAATATGCAATTAGTTTTTGGTAAAAATTATTTCAACTTATCCTATTACTCGTGACAGCAAAATAAAATAATACTGTTGTATAAATCGTTTATAATAAATATGTAGTGAATATATAATGCTTAGAAATATTTGCTGACATATCATCTCCGCTCAAAATAGTTTTTCGTTTACAGTTATTTACCAATGAATTCAAATTTAACACATCCGTTACAGTGACTTATTCAATACTGAAAAACAATCGACATCTATAGGTACCATACAGCAGAGCGTCTTCCCCGGCTTTATATTTAAACATAAATAAATAAATATGCGTTGAATAAATCAAATTTAACATATCCATTATTTAACACTTGTTTAAATTTATATTATATATTATACATACATTTTGTAAGTAATATTATATTTGTGTTTGAATATAATACATATTTACATTTTACACAATATCATAAAAATAATTACTTTATTCGAATATTATAAATATTTTATTCAAGTTGATAAACTTACAAAAAATTTAATTAATACAATTTCTCTTTAAAAAATCATAATAAATATTTGAAATTTAAAATTTAAAACAATTCTTATAAAATTATAATAATATACATGTACCTATAGTACCAACATTATTAACATTATTTAAAACTGTTTATTCAATAATTTTCAATAAATTGTTGTTTATGGTAGGAATGTATTATCTTTGATGAGTTGTACCTATGCACCTAGGCAACTTCTTGGAACCAAGTTTATGAAAACGACCCATTTCTTTGCATATCATAAATAATGACTGTATGATGCGTCCAGTACTACTCATATGCTGTTCTAAAGAAAACTTTGTAATTGTATAAAAACCATAAATAAAACGAGACAACGTTTATGATCCATAAAAATAGTCTCATAAATTCTTATATAGTAATATAATAATATTATACATCAATGGTACATTATAACTTTCGTAGAATACCGTTATGTACTAAAATATTTAGTGTATTTAAATATGTACTTTTTGAATATCAACATCCACAATATTATGTGTAATATGTATGAATGAAATAATCGGAACGCGCAGTTGTAGAAAAACAATATCTACGACTCGTTCGCCGGATTCAATTTGTATGATGTACACTGTACAGTATAACACACAGGACAGCTGTTTTCTGAAGATGGTATCCGTGTTGGTCCGAGTTCAAAAGGTTTAATGTAAAAAATGAGGAACGATGAGCTAAAAACTCGGTCTAAAGTACTTGGTAACTTGTGGTTAAGCTTCTCAAAAGAACACAAATAAAAATCATGTTAGCTACTACCGATTATTGTGTTTTAGTTCTGTTAAACGAATTTTCTTGGTACAATTACGATTCTACATTTTCATTTATCGGCATATTTTCAAAAGGTCATATAATTCCCTCAAAGATAAATCCTGTATACGAACAACTTATAGGTAACTTTATATACTAAACGAGTTACACTAAAACTCCATGCTAAAACATCTTCGATATTCTCAAAAATTCAAAAGGTTCTGTGATATAACAATAAATTGTTAAATTGTTAGGTATATCTAATTAAGCAAGCCGACGAAGTCCTGTTGTACATTATATTATTGATTTTATTGTTCTCAATAGCCAACAACATTTATAACACTGTAGCTTACATGACACAATACACCAACACATTGTACACATTTTATTTTATAACTCTACTTTAGTTCTACAGTATATGATATACTTATTATAATAATGGTTGTATTAGTTTACTTTCAATATAACGAGTAAAACATAATATACCACTATTATTTTGGGTTTAAAATTTTATAACGAGGGAAAAATACAATTAATTTTTGTCAAATTTCATCCAATATTTCGTAATACATTGTGTTTCAAACTCTCAAATAGAATGTTCTCATCTACTGTTTGAAAAAATGTATTGAAATAACGTTATGGAATCTGTTCGCCCTTCCCCTCCTCCTCCTCTTCTCACACTGAAAGTTTTGAAAAACATATTTTAGACTAATCATTTTAGAACTTTAAAAGGAAACATTAGCGCGATTAACTTATAGACGAGCTAATAAATGAGCGAGAGATAAAGACTGTAGAGCCGAGTAAAGATAGTGACGAAAACAGTAGAATGGAGATGGAAAATGAGAGTGAGACCATGCGCATATGATTATCTGTCTGTCTGTGGCACTAATAATTGTTAACCAATCGCGTTGTGTTATGGTTGGTTTGCAGTTTTGAAGCAACCGAAAGTGTCGGTGGTGCGAAACATGACTGGCCAGTCTGTCCGGGACAACCGGCAGCATCAGTCGCGTCCCGTCAGGCCCACCGTTCCTGGGAGACTCGAGGCCTCAGGTGGGCAATCGCGTACGCCTTTTTATAAAGCACATTTGTTTTATTTTTATTTCATTTTTTGCACACATTTATTATGCTAGTTGTTTTTATTTTTATTTTTTTGTAAGTCACTCGCAATTTATTTAACTTTTGAACACACGTTGATTACATTTTGTTTTGACAATATATAATATATACACAGGTGTTACATACTATTATTTATTTGGCTTGTACGCAGATGTTGTTCTCGTTTGTACCTTTTCAGACGCGATAAATACTCATCGATTGTCACAAACAATTGACAGTGTAAGAGGGGTCGATGATGATAACAACTGAACTGTTCTTTTTATTCTTATTATTTTTTTAATATTTGAAAAATAAACGCACTTATTATCCTACAGCTACCTACTAATGTATAAAGTATAGGTAAATGGGTTAATAATCACCCATCCCACTCATGTTTTAAATATTCTGTGTACTAAATTATTATATTTACTTTGGTATTTGATACAACCAGGATAAATAACAATACAACGAACAAAAAAATTAACTAATAACAATGTTTGTTTAAAAAATAAATTACGTTAGAAACGCGTTAAATCGAAATTAAATAAAACGATTTTGAAAATGTGTAAATTTATTTTCTCTTCTGCCTTCAATGTGGCTACAACGAACAACACAAGAACGAAAAAGGAAATAATAATAATGACGCTAGAGAATTGTCTACGTGACTCGCGTTTATTTCCCTACATCAGTATACTTGGAATAAAATTTAATTTTTAATACCCACACACCCTAGATAGATGATTTGATTCAAATATTATATAAACTCAAAAACGAAAAAATTGTGACAATTTTGATGTAGATATTTTTAACCGAATTAAATATACGTGTCTATAGGAAGGAAGTAGGTTTATCGTATGTACTATTTGCTTGTTTGTTCTCATTTTAATTTCATAAAAGACAGTGTGTGCATGTCAGCAGAGGACCAGAATATTTTGTTACCGTAATATACGAAAATGTAGTATACTATATTATTTTTCATATAAGTAAAACATTTCTAATCGGTGAGACACTTTACGAATTCGTTTGCTGATTTGATGTGTACATGTTATTAAATTCAGATGGGAATAAAAGCGGTGAAATGGGGTGAAAACTAAAATTATGGGCTGTGATAAAAAAAGGCAGACTTACTTAATAATATAATAGTATCTATTTAATTACTTTTCGTGTTAAATTTTTTAACGTTTTGAAAAACTTTTAGAGTACATCCTATATATATTTTATAATAATATGTTAAGTTTTTGTATTGCTTTGTGAATACCATTAATAAACCATTGCACTGCAGGTTATGCTATGCGATTTTGAACATGACATCCATTGTACGCGTTTTGACTTGGTCTGTTGGTTTGAATCATATCCGCTTTGAGTTTGTTTTAATATAAAAGTCTCACCTACAGAGATTTATAAAATACTAAAGCAGTTTGAAAGTTGAAATCGTTTTTGTTTTAGTTTTATTTTAAATACATTATTGCGTACCCCGTTGAAATTGTGTAAATCCATTTCGAAATGCCTCTCGGCATCATCATTAAAGGGCCAACATTTTTCCTTTTTTTTTTTTTTGTCACACGTTTTATTTTATTTTACTATTGTTACTATTCTTTTTTTCATATTTTTATATCACATATTTTATCCATCGCAATATCGTTGTACTGTCGACCACCGTAAATATTTGCTCATTGGTTTCACTAAACCCGATATGACTCGGGCCTTTAGAACCAACAAGTCTTATTTCTACACCACCGATGTTGCTGTTATTTTTATGTTTTTGTTTTCCAGGCAATTGGGGGCCCAGCAGATACAGCCGGTCCCAAATCGTAATAACCGTGTTTGGTGTGGTCACGTGTCTCACGTCCTCGCATCACATACCATCATGAACGGCTCAACATCCTTATAATATATTATTATAACATTATTATTATACTACAATAATAGCTGAATTTTTGTTTTGTTTTGTTGTATAAATTTTAATATATATTATTAATATTATAATAATTATGAATTGTAAGTTAAGTATGTTACGGAACTCAACAAATATTATTGTTGTGAATAATTGAATAATTAATAACAATAATGCTTGATATTATCAAAATGCTATAATAGAAAAATAATTTTAGTTACCGCTGCAATTTTATTTTGAGAAGGTATTTTAGTCGCCATAGAAATTATTGTTTTTTAGAAATCATTGTTGAAGAATCAAATATCATCATATTATGTGTCAATCTAATAAAAAAGTTATATATTTATTTGAAATACCTACTAATTTAAAAAACTATCTATCTAATTTGCACTGTATTCGCGTAGTGCCGTGTGTTCGTACTAATTTTATTTTATTTAATATTTTTTTCAAAAACAAAATCAAAAACAAAGCTATACAATCCCCTAAGTATAATATGGTACTATGGATATAATATATGTATAGTTAAAAAAAAAACTAATATGAAATTAACCATAATGAGTTAAGTATTTCGTGGTTGTTATGATGCTTCTTTCTTCTTCGGTAATCTCGGCCGCTTAGGACCATCCCAGCGTACATCCTTGTCTCCAGTTCTCCCAATCCGATGTCTGTAGTTTCCATTCCATACCTCCTCCTAACCCTTTCACAGCATCCCTTATTACGTCATCCCACCTCAGACGTTGTGTTCCCAGCGGTATTTTCCAAGTAGGATTTTTTCCTATTACAATGCGTATGAGTGGGTTTTGGCTAAGCCAATCGTGTCCAGCCCATTGTAACTTTTGTTCTTTACCGTTTCCAGTATACCGGGTTAACGGGGGAGCGTTTTTTACGGGGTTGTTTCTTAGAGGTTGTTATGATTATCTGCAGTAATATAAATATGTATATAAAATGCGTAGAATGTAATAATAAACTCCAATTTTCCTATAAAATATAATCGTGTATGCAGATTGGAGGTAACTGCATGAAACATGAAAATGAATATTCTTGACGTTTCTTACGATTTGGAGGGTAAAAAATGATAATGTTCGTTGGATCACCCTATAAAAACGTTTGGACATTTTGAGTGGCGTAGGAACTATGTGTATAAATAGAATATTTATTAACTATGTATAAATAATATCTCAAGTGGAAAAAAGGTCCTATCGCCGTTCTGGATGACCCGTACAATAGATTCAATGGAAGAAAAAAAACACGCATAGGTAAGTTCGTGTGCGTTTTTAAATTATTCGAATGTTGTACTACAACTGCTCTTACGACGTTGAATACGTAAACGGCGTAATTTTCAAATCCTTTGGAGAACTCGAGTTTAATAAAGAGATTGGGTAGGTTATCATAAGTGTATTTACATAATAATATGGTATATTTGGCCAATTTGTAATGACGTACATTATATAATACCTAACCTTTGTTGAACTATTCGAATATCGCTAAAATTGGTTAAAAGTAATACACTCAGTAAGACGTATAATATACTAATATGGTTCTACAAACCATTTTATATAATATAAGTATAGGCATATCTTGCTGCACGTGTTCACGTATTCTCGGTTTAATGCTTTTTTTTTATGTTTTTCAGTAAATTTCTATTCACTGCCGAAGATGACACATGACGTGACAATATTATTAAAACAAAAAACAGTTAAAAAATAGCAATATAATATTTTAAAGTGACGCGTTGCGAGCACTAAAAAATGTAAATAAAAACAGAGGGTACATATGTATTAATAATGTATTTAGCTACGGTATAATATGCTCTTGGAAATTCGTATGGTTAGGGTACTATTTGTTTTTATACCCCGGCGCAACGCAATAAACGCATAAACAGAATATTTTTTAAGTCGCCAATATCTTGTGGACATAATAATAACGTACCATCAGCGAGTGATGCTCAATAATAATCAATGAAATCGTTTACCTGTGAAATTAAATGAGAATTTTTTTAGCGTTAAATTAAAACATACCTTTCTTGGCATTCGCACAAACATCATTCCTTTATCTTTACCGTCCCGCGTACAATACCATTCATACGGGAATAATAATAATTAACGGAATTTCAAAATTTCAAAAAAATACCTGTCATACCAACTCACTGAATGTACCCACCCACCCAAACGTGGATAAATGCAATGCTCGTGTTCAGACAATGTGTACTGTCGGCTATAATATGACGTATGCGCATAACTTTCCAGTTCGAGTTACCTAAATCCACGTAATTACACAATTACGCTAAACACTCGAAATGGATAAAATACTTTACTTTGTTTTATGTCGGCAGATAAAACCAATACAATAGAAATTCGAAAACATAATTCGTTTCAAGTCACTTCAAACTTCACTGTCGCATAACTAAAACGGCCACTGCGTTAATAACGTGATTTGATATATTCTCGGATTACATCACGTCGTTCGATATATAATAAATATTACGAACAGCGTAGACAAGGCCAATACCTATTATTACAGTTGAAAAGCCCACCTACGTGATGTACCATATTAGATTGAAAACTATTCAAAATCATGTTGTTACACCTATCAACTTCCACAAAATGCCACAGTATTGTAATTTTATGGTGCAGAACTGTTGACGATTTGTCAAATCTCCGACATTGATCTGTCGTTAAATGTATAAAGATACTGATATTGTGTGTGGAATATATTTTATTTTTTCCAAGAACAAAGAACCCATATTCGTTTCACAGTAATGATAATGTGTAGTTTTTATATTAGTAAAATTAATTTCAATCAATTCGGATCAGAAAAACGCTCTAAGATCTTCACTCAGCACATATCTGGATTGTAGGCACAACATTTTCAGAGGTAATCGTTCAAATTTCCTGGTCGTTTTCGAGAAAATTATACAAATCTATAATTTTGATACTATACTGTCACAATAAAAAATATTCAATTTAAAGAAAAAATCGTACCCTTATGGGTTAGATGGTTTTTTGAGATTCCGCCGCCTTCCAAAGATTACGTTATCTGGTCATTAGATCCGATTATTTATTTTTGTATGGGTTTGGTATTATGTCACACACAATGTTTGTCAATTTTTAAAATATAATATAGTTTACGCCATAGAAATACTGTTCGTGTTTAACTCTATAGGTAAGTTTTTTGTATTATTATTTTTAAATAGGTTGTACACAATTTGTAAATAATTAATTTTCACAATAAACATATGAGTGGTTAATACAGGTTAGCACGAATTAATTGATAAAAAGAAGCCACCGATCAAAGACACTTGTTTTGCGTGACTCATCATTTATCTACACCATTGGAGAGCTAATTATCTAGATTTCTGGTGATTTTATTTGAGTTGAGATCTCTAAATATGGGGTATAAGTGATTGTGTAAGCGGAATCATTTAAAGGAAGTGGATGCAGTTTTGGATATAGTGTGTATGTGTGAATCGTAGTGTTAATAGTGTGATTGGTGACGTGGAAAGCTGCACACATTCAGATGGAATGTAGTTGATTCGAATGCTTGGATTGTTTTTAAAGTTTGATTGTTTGGCTGTTCCAGAAATTTTAATGCCGTAAGACCAAATAGGCATTAACTAAAATTTATTTATTTTTAAGATAAATATTTTATTTTTTATTTAATACAAACTTAAAAGTAAAGGTTTGGCTTCCTTCGTATGTAGTTAAATAGTAGTCATTTTACTTTAATATGGAACCCAGTTCAGTAGCTTATCTAAAAACCCATCCAAATAATGGACGTTTAATGCAATAAACTTAGGTGGGTAAGTAAAAAAATATTCATATTTTCAGTTTTACATAATAATCAATCTGGTCGTAAAAATACAAATTTTATGAATAGCAGTTTGACACTCAGTGAGGAGATAAAATCATAAAAACAGACTATCTACGTTTGGTGGCAATATAGAACTGTGTTAAACTAGACTGTTGAATTTTGCAATTAAAATTGAAACGACATCGTCTTTATTTTAATTTTGGTTTGATATTTTAAATTCTCATTTTAACTTATTGAATTAACATTAATTATTATTTACGAGATGTGCTGAAGAAAACTATTGCAGATTTTAATAAATACCTATAGTTGCAGTAATTTCAATTCTATTGAAAAATAACTGAACCAAAGTTAAAATATGATTGTAGCACTTAGCTTTAACTAACCTGAGTTTGTATGATATAATCTTTAAAATTTCCTAGAAAATGTCTAATAGATTTACTTTATTTGCATTTGACTTAAATAATTATACTAAGCTTAATAACTTATTTAAATTTATACGAAACATCATATTATATTGATTATTTTTAAAATATATGCTTATAATAATACAATATATTGTCTATCAAAAACAGATTCATTGAGTTTTCAAGTAATAATAAAGTATAACTGAATATTTTCGATCAAAATGGTGTTCAAAATTAATTTCTAAATCAAATTACCTTATTCGTTTATTTGATGACAATGTCAGTTAAAATGGAAATATAATTTCATAATTTTTGGAATCCATGAAAACATTATTTATTTGATATTAATTTGGTACAATAATATCGTTATATTTTCTAAATAAATAAAAAATAACATATCTGTATAGCAAGGCATCTAGTTAGTAATTTCTTACTTTTTTTATTATAATTATTAAATAATTTGAGATTATTCTATATATCATTTTTCTGATTAAATTAATTTTCATGGCATCATAATTATAAGTAAATACAATTTTTTGCAATAAAAAAATAATGCTCGCAAATCATGTAGGCATTTGTCTACTGGAATGTTCAATTAGTTAATACACAGTTATAGATCATGCGAAATACGAGGATATTATGTATGATATTACAAAATTACTGTCTACACAAAAAAATGTATTATTTTGCAAATATTATAAAACCACATAAAGGTTAAACACCTCATAGTAAATTAATCGAATTGTTCTATTTAATATTGTAAATAGTTATGTGGATAATCACATTTTTTCCTCATTTTAAACTTAGTATGAGTACAAAACACACGACACTACGAATTTGTAAAAGATTTTTTTTAATAGGAAATTATATTATAAATGTTATTTGGAGATGAAACTAATTTTTAAGCTATTGTTACTTTTCAATTGTGTTTTACGTGTTACCGTATATTTTATGGTGCCATACAAATACGTAGACATTCATTCTATTTCATATTATATAAAAAGTTATCGTAGGTACATACTATTTTTAGAATGTTTTTATAAAATATTATTGTAATTTATGTATATTATGTATTGTTAAGTGCAGGTTTTTCATGTGGTGATAGATAATATCGGTGAGTGATTTTTTATTTTAAAAAATCTGATATTTTCGGTGGATTCAGTTTTAAAGTGGTCAAACTTACACTACCGGTGGCGTACTAAAAATAACACATAAATTATTCTTACTAAGAGGCGGTCAAAACCTCAGAATGTTTAAAGACACGTAAACCAAATTCCACAATTCCCATTAATACCAATAATTTTAGGAAAACGGGTTTAAGGGCAATAATATTGGTAAATATTTGATAGAAATGTTTTCATGTCTTAAGTTTGCCACATAACTGAGTGCAGCATTTATAATTTATTCATATGAAATATTATTAGGTTCATACTACTTTTAAATGGATTACAACTTTACAAGACTATTTCCTATAACATATAACTCATTACATTAACATTAAGCTATAGTTAATTGTTTCAAATCCCATATTCTCATAGAGATTCATAAACGTGAAACATTACTAAAACCAATTCGTCTTGGCACTTAGAAAGTAGAGACCATTAAGATTTTAAAAAAAAAACAGTTGCCGAGTGACAAGATTCACTGGAAGGGTTATTATATGGAAACGTTTGACTAGGTGAACCGTTTCGAACCGAAAAAACTTCTCCGACATTTGTCTTATTTTTTTAAAATTAATTTCTTTATGAAAGTTAATCAATTAGCTTAGTCTGAATCGAGTACAAGTCGTCGATACACATTTATATAATAAACTAAGTGTAAAATAACATGTCAATCGCATGTGTGTAATAATTAACATCCATTTTTTATTCTCAATTTTATTTAAATTCGAAACGTTGTTATTTCTACAAAAATAATGTATTATATTTATATATATTTAACTTTATGATAATAATATGTGCTATTCTATTTTAGATTCCAAATGAAATCTAAAATGATTTATTATTTATATTGTCTAATTATTGCTTTTATATTTCGATTTAAACTTTTTGAGACAGTAGCTCAAAAAGTTTTGCACATCATATATTCATATCGATATAACATAAACTTTAAATATTTAACAGGAACTGTATATAAAAATTTACGTACACTGTTATTTCTAGTATAATTGTAGACAAAATCAAAAAGAATGGAATGTGTAAAAAACATGTGACCGTTTTGAAACAAATTTATATCGACCATTTACATAAACCGCGGGATAACTCTATTCTGCGGGATTGTATTGTTTTTCGAATGAGGTTTAAAGTCATATCACTACAAATTTGAGATTGAGAATCCACTTCTCTCAATAATTATCCTTTTTAGCATTGAAAAACTTGTAAAACGTCACACGACTAGTAACCTATTACCAAATAATGTTGTATAATATATGCACATATTATATTACATGGATTAAAATTTGTAATTTCGTTTTAGTCGAAAATGTCATTTCACTGTCTGTTGCTTCCGAAATCGATTGTACATACAATTTAAGCTCCCACGCATACACACGCCATGATTTTTGCAAATAAAAAAGGCTAAAACTGTTCTATTTTTATTCACGTATTGTTATAATATCATGTTTATTATTGTTTATTTTATCGCAAATATATGCATTCTTCGGAGCGCCGAGGACGTTTCAAGTGTAAATAATATATTATTATAATTTATAACGTAACATTATGGTATCCACTATAACATATTATTATTATTATTATTATTATATAACTATAATATAAACAGATTGTAAAATAAAATAAAATTCTATCGAATGTGTATATTGTATATTATTATATTATATAGTATAGGTATACCTACCACCTACGTCAAACACGAACTTTCTTTTTATCATCCGACCTAATTCATTCTATGCAGTGCACTGCACATAATATATTATGTAGACCAGACGATGAATCCCGACGGCAAGAGATGAGCAAGCAAGCCACCAAAGTGACGATAGTAATTGGAATACGGCAAAAACAGAGAAAAAACAAATCTCACTCGCTCTATTCGTATATACGTACGTACATGGCATGTACAATATTATACAATCATATGTGTATATTAGGCACATCACAGCCTATTGCACTGTTGATGCGCACATTGTGTTTGCCCATTTATCGACGACCCGAGTAAATATTCAGCGGCTGCAGCGTTTCAACGCCGAGACGCGTGTTTTCACTCGCGACTCACCATTAATTTTGTTCGCAAAATATTATATAAGCACCGACAACATGACTCGTGTAATTTTAGTATCCATCATGCATGTATACAGTGTCGTCGAACTATTATTAATAACTTTACCTGCACCCCATCCCCAATTCAAAACACTATACATCCCTCACCTAAAACTACATTCTGACATAATATTATAGGCACTATATATATATATATATATATGTCTATATACGCATACATGGTATATACAGTATAAATACATAATTAACTATACCGAACCGCCCTAATAACAAACCAACGTTTTAGTACGTTGCACCAATGCCATACATTATACATATATATACCTCCACTGTCATTGTTTATTGAGTAGCCGAGTGCGTATCTATAGATTGCGTTGTTTCCTCCACAGACATTTTGCCAACATTTTAGCAAGCCTCATTATATTTCTACTACCAACTCCCCCCCCCCACACTTTAAATTGGACTTTTTCGGCACCCCTCTAAATTAATCCAACTCCAATTATGAGTGATGACCGTACGTAACAAGTTAATCTAAACGGTTTCAACCTTAAAATAAATACTGTAAAAACGTAATTAATGCCGAAAGAACTCCAAAACCAACCGATTTCCTTAGATGTTTGCAATCGTGAGGTAAATTATTACAATTATATTTTATAGTTCGTGGTATATTGGAGCAACCCAACTTTCATTCAAGAGGCCGAAGTAGTACACGAGTACACCGGTCGTATCACTTATACCCCTCTTTTAAATCGAATGACTACAAATTTTGCACTCCGGCGCTATTCGACTTTTTTGAGATGACAGTGTGAGTGTGTGACTCTCTAAACCAATAATCGACTTGCCTCCGTACGCTTCAAGTCAGTGGCTAATGAATTTAGCCGGCGTTTAAATGTTTCGTGCTTGTTAAGTAATGTGAGGTCAGAGGTACGATGGCATACGTTAGTCGTTAAGTGTCTCTGTTTTTTTACTTCATCTACCACAAGTATATATTATATTCCAGCAATTTCCAAATCTTAAAAAGTTAAAACTTCATCATCGACCACAAATATTACTAATGCTCCAGCTGTAGAATATTAACAATTACATTAAAAGTTTAAAAAACAAAATATAGTCGGTACACTTGTATGAAAATTAAAAACAAACATAAAATTATTTAGTGGATCCATGTAACAGCCGTCGTTTGTCCACGTTCAACCGTCACACACACACACACACACACACGCTCCAATTTCACGACAGAAGAGGGACTCCTCCAGCTCGTCATGGTAGCGACGTGTTCTATTGCAACTAATTTAATGTAGGTAATCATACTGTCTAGTCGCCTCTACGCATTTAGCTTCACTGACCTCGCCTATATTAATTACTTAGTTTGCTAAAATATATTTTCCTCCTACATTACATATCATACATATTATAAAATAATTGTAATGACTATACTCTATAACATACCACAATGTTATAATAGAAATGGATAGGTACAACTAGTTTGCATACATTTTAAATGTATCTATACAAGAGGTACATCCTGGTTTCACAGTGGTAATGTTTACCCTATTATAAATACATGATTATCGAATATGATATTTACAGTTTAAAATGTTTTATTTGTACCTACATTACTAAGTAATTATTTAAGTACACTCTCGTCTCTCTCTCTGAAACAATTCGAGAATAGCCTAGTCAGATTTACTGAAGACGAACAATTGCATTTGACACCTAAGT